AAAAAAAACGATATGGGATGTACAAAAAAAGGATCACGATAAGTGAGATGATCAACACTGCTATCCAGTGAACGTGATAACAGGATGACGGATGAAGAAAAACCAGATTACACGGACGTCAATAGTGATAATTATGATACGGATGAAATGAAGAAGAACAATATTCATTCATTCAGTAAATAAATGTGATAAAAATGTGAAAATGTGATAAAAATTTTGAATCAAATGAAACGACAAAAATGATGACATGATAACAGCCAGTAGGTAAATGATAGAAATTCAACGTAAAGTAAAACTAGAATGTAATAGTTTATTCTGTTGGTACAAGAGACTCTGCATTAGTATTGCTTGATATGGGGAACGATTTTCAATTGTTTTGCAATTTTTCATTCAGAATCGTCGTGAATTTCGATATGAGTCTCGTTTCGAGATTCGCACAGAAGTCTTTCATCTCCGAGGCCCGCTGAAAAAAAAAGCATATGTTACAGAAATATTAAATACAAATTCGACCGATAAAACCTAGAAAATATGAATGAATTCAGTACTTGCACAGTTGAAATTGTTTAATCTGAGAGTCTCGTGCAAGATATTTTATCGAAAGTTAAAGAAATATCAATGCAAATGGCACGCGATTCGGTTTTGAGCAAGACATTCCATCGCGAACGATAAGTTTTGCTGGCAACTCAATGGTGTACCAATGTCATTGACGTTATCATTTGGTTTGCATGTGATTATTTATTTACGTCAAAGAAATACATGGGCACATCATTCATTTTACAGAATGACACGCATTATATTCAGAAAAACTGTTTTGAACGTTTTTATAATTGATCACAGAAAAGTGGGAACGATCATAATGCGATTCATACCAGCAGAACCTATCTTTCCCAATGATTACGAGTGTGACGGAATGAGGACTGGAAGTAGATAAACTGCAAAAATTGGGAAATTCATAAATTGGATATAGCACTGAAACAGTGCAATCATTGTTGGAAGCTGCGTACCGCATCAAGTTTCTGGAGTTGATTTTGCACCTGACTCAACTGAGTCTCGGCGTTCAGCGCTTTAGCCTCGGAAGCAATGCGATCGCTTAAAAGCGATCGAATCAGAACGAAAAGGCCATCAGGAGGAGCCTTTGCAAGCGAGAAATTGCAAATGTTCTCCTGAAAAACTGATAGTGAATATCGCACGTCAAAATTTGCTCACTATCAATTTTGAACATTCCGATTTCAAATTTTGCAATTCCACTAACCGAAAATCATTCTTCAACACATTTTGGAAATATCACACAAATGAAATCAAATATTCAAAAAACGGTGTGCGAATAAAATCCTGATGGATGACTTTCCTAATAGTAAATGAAAATTATTTCAAACAGAAGACTTGTTGTGTGAGCAATTGTCAACTAACATAGAAGCCCTCATCGTCCTGTTTGGACCATGCAATCTGAAAACTGTTTTCCATCAGGGCACATAAACCCATTCAAACTGAAGGTGAATTCGAATTGTGGTTGAATAGTCAATTGGAGAATCGTGATTGGTTTCTGATTCTACGAAATGCTCACTTTAGCTGAATCAAATAGACAGATTAAATTGTAAGCAGAGGAATTATTACAAGTTCAAAGACAATGTGGCATTCAGAGAGTTGTGCATGAGCATAAAATGTTATTGTTAACTCAATTAGTATTCGAGGTAGTCTCGTGAAACTTCGAGGTGTCACTTGATGCATAAAAATGGATGCAGACAATCGCCTAAACGATCCAGCTAGGCTTCTCAAAGCTGTATTTGTGAGATTCCGCAAGGGCTAGATAAAAAGCTGATAAATTTGAATATGTGAATATTAGAAACATGAAGGCTGCCGTCCTCATAGATACGGGTCGTAATTTCACTATGATTAATATCGTTGAGCCACTCGAAGAACTGCTCACTTGTTTCGGCTCCCCCATCTTCATACATCCTTATCCACTTTTCGGTAGAATCTGAAACAGTGTTTTATCTGAAACGTGATTCGTTGATGTGCGTCCATTGGATAGAACAAATCTGATGCAGTTTTCCGATGGATTTTCAATTGTTTTGTGTTGGTAGGAAATTTGTAATGCTGCAAAAT